CCTCCTAATAATTTGCTAATAATCATTCTTTTTTCAAAATCATGCAGACCTTTATATTTTAAATAATGTACCTTTAAAATACTGACAATTGAATAATTGTAAGCGGCTACATTCATCCATGACAAACAGCAAAGAATCATATTACCCATACTTTCCTGCAACTTCTCCAATATATAGTTAATTCAATATATAGCGAATTTAATTAAATAGCGAATTGTAAATTTCGACATACTAAAACGCTGTTTCTGACCATCAGAATTCTGGCAAAACTTCCCAAAAGTCCAGGAAATGGCATTTCAGAAACTCTAAATTTCCTCGATCGCGTCTTCATTTTCCGGATAGCAATCACCTTCGTGGCTTCGTATGCCATGAAATATTCGGAAATTTTTGGCCTGCACCCCCCAACTATACATGTTAGCTACGGCCCTGTACGCATGTTGGAGTAAAGCGTAGTGAAGCGCAGCTGCAGAAGTTACTGTAGGTAAAGGAAAACATAACATTATGTTCTGCTTTTTATTACTATTTCAAATAAACTATACAAAGTATACTGTGAACTAATAAATAAACACATATATTTTAATGTTATTCAGTCTACATTTAAAAGGGGCGGACCGTTTTTGCACGATTTTTTTTCGTTCCCCTTTGTATGAATTTTGTTGTCTTCCTCGGCATCACTTTTCTAATGGTCCCACCCCTGAGAGAATCATACAAATTATTTTGCTCATTATTCTAATAATTATTATTTTCAATATACACATCTTATCCGATAACTTAATACAGACTATACAAAGCCAGAGGCTTGCTTGTCATTGTATACTACATTGATCTTTATTACAACTTGTGCGTTGTTCGGCGCAAATGATTTCAATTATGCGTGGTCCAGTTCACTAAGCACTATCAACTCTATCATAAAGCAGATGGTGGTCAACCTACAGTTATCAGAGCGAGAAAATAACGGTGTAGTAGTGTTGTATTTGAAAGCAAACGGTAAACAACTATAAACATAAGCGTATGGGCGAAGTTTTTCCAAATATTGTTGGGATTCCATTCTTTAAGATACATGCACTCTACTGCATACAATTTTTGATGAATGAAATTGTCTTTTAGATTCTCTGACCACAGTCAATAGAATAAGGTTAGGTACTTCGATGCAGACATAAGTAGACCTCATTATCTCATGTCTTTGTCTTGGTTTAATTATACAAGAAATGGTCGGTTCATCGTCACATGTGTATTGTATTCGCTAAAGCACTGAACCAAAAGGCATGTTTTCAACCTATAGCTATGTTTTCATTTAACCATTGTGTAATATAACGACTGGGTAATTAAACAAACACACTGCTATTGGTTGCTTGGACGAAAAACCAATACACGTGTGACGATGAACCGACCATTTTTTGCTTAATTAAAGGGAAATGGCAATATATTTTTTTATTTTCTCATTTGAAAGAACTTTTGAAACTATTTAGTAACTTCTTTTACCGATTCTTTATATCTTGCTTAGTTCTTGAAATATTTTCACTTGAAAAAATGAGATGTCAGCCATCTTGGATAAAATTGTGATCTCATTAACGGCAGTTTTGGTGACGTCACAACAGGGATTAACCATATAAAAGTATTCGTTACTGACCAAATATTGACTGGTAGATGTTTTAAACGTTTCAAGTGATCTTGATATTTCCAACAGCATACAGAGTATAATTTTGAGTGCAAAATGATTAGTGGTTGTCTAGATAAAAATATTGCGTGACCTCTGTTGTGACGTAACATGCATATCCACAAAAAGGCAAGATGGCGGACATTTCATTTCTTTCGATTAAAAAATTGTAGAAGTAAGCAAGATATGAAAAAAACGGTAACAGAGTTTTATATATGGTTTTAAATGTTCTTTCAAAGGAGAAAATAAAAAAATATATTGCCATTTCCCTTTAAACCAAGACAAAAAACATATGTACTGAGGTCTATTTTGTCTTCATCAAGTTCCCTAACCTTATTATTCTATTGACTATGCTGATATGCTCTAAGGCTAGGTTTACTATACCGGATAGCTTTTCGTAGCGGCATGAAAAAGCACCTATCCCACACAGAATATACAACTTTCAGAAGCTGAGCGAAACAACATCTTTCCTTTGCAATAATGCCTCCGAAAAGGTAGGATAGGTGCTTTTTCACGGAAATCTATCCGGTACAGTAAACGCAGCTAGCCTAAAAATAATGTTAATATCTCATGCAACCTACATGTCTCCTACATTTTTGACAAAATACATGTCTCGTACACTTTTGAAGTTGATCATCATCTGCTGTCATTACTGAATAACTGTTTCTATTTATTGTTTAGCATATTTATTCAATTGTTTTCAAAATTGTGGAATGTATGGATGGATAAATACGCGTACGTACGAGATCACGCTAGGCAGATAACGTGCAAATAGAAGAACAAGCAAACTAAGATTGTTCGTACCACACTATCAAAAGAAACAGCGTTAGATGTAGGGCTAGGATCAGCATGAATAGCTTCAATCACAACATGCGGCTCATCACCATCCTCGACAGTACTAAGTTCTTCTTCTGGTGTCGTGGTTGCCTCTGTCGGGAACGTAGTTGTATCTGTGGGTCCTGGAGTCGTGGTCATCTCCACAGGATAAGTGTTACAAGATTGAGTCATATAAAAATAACTTAGCGGTCCAGATTTCGTATCGAGCCCGATACCCAAGAACATTTCTTTGCTACTTTCATCATTCACGCTGCGTATGAGAAGCTGTATCGCGGTACCTTTCGCAGGAACCTTGTATCCAATACTAGCACACCCGCGCGTGGACATCACATCTTGTCTTTTGCCCACCTCCCATACATCTTTCCCACAAGTGTCTTTATCAGCGGCATTGAGTACTTGTTCGTACAGTCTATGACGTGGGGTGAGGTAAGCGTGTTCCGTATAGAGCTGATACACCACACCTCCGGGTACTTCCAAAGAATTTCCGATCCGGCGTACCGTTCCGACCGAATGAACTTCCAACAAAGGACTCTGGCATCTATGCTGGCTCGTCGTCTGTGTATGGTCCATTTGATAAAACCCAAGATCGAATTTATTCCCGTCAATTTTATCGATTCTTGTCGTCCAGAAACCGCGGTTTGACTTCTGGCAACGGACACTGGCCCAAACACCGTCCAAGCTTGTTGAATTTCTTACATAAAGTTTAGGAGGGAATCTAAAGCGAGCTAACGCAATTTTTGCACAGGTTAAACACCTACGTTTGTTATGCCGGACAAGAGGCCATTGGTATCTGTAAATTGTGCTGTTTTTATACTTTGTTAAGTCCACAACGGTTTGAAGAAGTTCGTCCGACCTAGCTCTCCCGGGAGGTTCAAGGGTTTCAAACGATGCACCACCACCGAATTCTCTTTTCCCCACACCGAGGGCTTTAAGACACTCGTTATTCGAGATGTCCTTCTTCTCCGTGCTGTATACAACAGGGTTTTCTGATTCCGATATTGTCAGATCTCCAGGACATGATTTATTGTATTTGCTCACGATTTCTTTCGCAAAACCCGAGTTGTAAATAGCAAAACTCAACGAAGAAATACTAAAGGTAAGGTTCTTGTTTTTAAAATTCACTTTTCCGTTCATTTTCAAGCCGTATGTCGGGTTCATGCAGTCTTGGTCGCGATAGAAGTAGTAGTTCCCAGTCCATTTTCGCCGGTTTTGGATTTCAATGGAGCGAATTAGGAATGCGGATTTTAGCCCGTTTGCGTTGTCCTGTATGCGGCGTAATTCACATCTAGATGGTAAGAAATAGTTGGAAAATTTAAACTGAATAATTCGTACTCGGGAATGATTATTTAGCAACTAAAACGGTGGATTTAATGTTAAATGGTCGCTTAAAATAACAATATGGTATTTTGTGTCGGAACTATTTTGAAAAAAATACTAATAAGGTTTTAATCTTTTTCATGTAGTTCAGATACAAACGATGACAGTTTGTTGTGAAATACAATGGTACAGTGTTGGTATAGTATAGTACAACAAGTTGCCGTGGTTTGTGTCTCAATTGCCCAAACAAGATATCTAGTCAAACGTGCTGGTCCAGTCTAGGTAGTATTCAATAATAAGCTGCCGGGGTTTCTAATCTGAACTACTTGAAAAAGATTAGGAAAATTTTCGTCATTTCGACTGCAAAGCTTCGTTCGTCCTAGCCTCCTGACGAAGACCACTCACTCGGAACGCCTTTTCCGTTTAAGTAGTTCTGTAAAACAATGAAGTTTTGTATTTTCTTGACCACCTGTTTTTAATGTAGCATATTTATCACAGAGCAAGAAAATTTTACATTGTTTTCACAAGTCTCGAAGAAGCAAATCCGCTTATAGTTACTATGGTGAAATAAATGCGAAGGTGCTAGCCAGTGTTTAACACATACTTAAAATATGGTCAAAATAATCGTTAACATGTATATTATAATCAGGATGCACTAACTCTCGTAAAAGAGGAGTATTAATTACAAGCCTATCTCCTGTGTGCACTCGGAACAAAATTCGGGTCTACTGGAGTCTGGAAATGGATTATCGAATGACGTTATAGCCTAGCTATTTTCCCCATCAATCTTATTAATGATATTAAGAGAAAACCTTTATTTTTTCAGATTTAAACCTGTGTTTATGTCATGGGGATTAAAAGGTTTTTCTATAACCATCGATAATGTTGTTTAGATCTTATATGAAACTGTTTTTTGAGCCTTGGAATTACCGGGTTTTTTACCGTTGCTGTTGATCATTTTGTTTACCTTACATAAATTTAGAAATTAAAGCTGCTTGATGCTATGGAACATATTTTTTACCCTTGATAATTCTAACATAGAGTTTTTAAAACTAATTGATGCAATTCATTGTTCTTGATGGATATCAATCGATGACAAAACCCTCTTAAACAGAGATTGTTCGAAACCAATTTATCCTCTTCAACTGACAAGCACGCAAGTAGCAAGAAAGACAATCGCCAAATATAGCAAAAAGATCAAGTGTAATACGATAGCCAGCTTCTTGAGCTTTGGAGCTTAGAAAACACAGCGATCTACAATGCAAGGAAGTCCGGAAAGGATAAACTTGGTTATTATAAACAGCGTATAAGAAAAATAAAGCTATCAAAGAGCAATTATACAATTTAACTTTTTTTCTTCTTCCACTATATCGGGTTTTGTTTGTGTCAATATCATTAGTTCTGCTTAAGTGTTTAGGAAACACAGAAATGCCACGTCTCGGCACGATATATAGGCTACGCTTGAAATACAGGCTTTACTTTCAAGCATTTCTGCATGGGTTCAAAAGGACATCGATAATGGTTCGAGGTTGTACATCGTCAGCCTCGAGTTCAAGTATGGTTCAAGCTACTGTTTCCTGGGCACTCCAAATTCAGAGAAATTGCCTAAATAGCATTTTAAAATTAAAAATCAACAAAAATAGAAACCGATGGGCTTTCCCATTTAGAAACTGCACGCTGGCTGAATTTTTCTTTAAGTGGATGTTATTCAACCCCGTAATGGGAGCCACGCAATAAATAGATTTTGATCAGTGAAAAAAAATCTGACTAACATTTCACCGTTCCTCTTCAAAACAATACAGTATCTGATAACCCACCCTAGTCGAGCAATGACTAATTGATTTTTAATGTGAAACTTTCCACATGCCCTACTTGAATATGGAAAATTTAATTGAATGAGAATAGCACGTCCAATGCACGTATAAAAGTTTAACCTTTTAATTAAGTGGGTTAATATAAAATGTCTTCTATTTGTAGAAGAACAATGAGTATTCAAAACATCTGGCTATAAAATATAAAATATAAAGTGCAATTTTCTAGACTCCGGTTCCTAGAAACGTGATATCACGAGAACTCTGATCTCTGAAAAAAAAATTATACAACACCAGCCTAGTTAAGTGGCTGATTGTCAAGTGTTTATCATAATTGTAAGAGCAATGAGTGGTCCAAAACAGCTGGTAAATGATTCATTATGAAAACAAAAAGGAAATTATGAGCATTGGCAGGAGATTGGATATCTGATTTACATAAACTTTGGTTTTATTTCATCCACTAAACACTATTTCCTGATGATGTATTTAAGATATGAACGTTTTCATCAAAACGATCTATGTATGTAGCACGATATCGTAGAAAACAGGACCCCTCCACTGAACTGTATATAGTTCACTGGACCCCTCATGACGATTCACTGATCGCAATAACACTGGATAGGTCATCCGCTATGCAATAAATGAAGCCAATGGCTGCAGTCATATTGATGTGACGATTGGAGAAGGACACGTATTGCCTACATAGAAATTGCTCATTAGTGGCCTCTCTTTCGTCTTATTACTGGTGAATAACTATAATGAGGTCACATATCTTGTTACTTTAATATAAGCTCAATTAGCCTTTCTCACGATGACGAATATCCGCCATTTTTTGGGTGGCATCAAATTTTCATTATCCAATGCAGACAATTAAAACAATGTGAAAAGCAATTTTTCAAAATAAACTAAACCATTTACAAAGCAAATTTACCATCATTCGTCCAAAAAATTATAAAAAGTCGCTGTTATGTGGACTTATCGCACAGACTTCGGCTGAAATGCCACCCAAAAATGGCGGCGTGAGAAAGGTTAATTCCTACCAGAGGACCTCGTGCTGCATTTTTCGCAGTCGTTCCTGGTCAGGTCTTAAAATGTATATACAGCTATTTCAATTAAGGTTGTCCACGAGCAAAGCGGAAAAGTCGAATACGAGCGCGAAAGGCTGCTGGGAATCGCTATGAAAATTCACATTTTAAAATTTGTTAGCGATTCCCAGTCAGGCCTTTCGCGCTCGTATTCGACTTTTCCGCTTTGCTCGTGGACAACCTTAATTGAAATAGCTGTATACTCACTTGGATTACAAACACTAACATTCTAATATTAATTCCACCAAGTGAAGTGCAAGAAACCAAATCATTTAAGATGCCTAAAGCCAGTTTTCCACTTAGACCGTATCGTAACGTATCGTAGCATTTCCTTTTGTGTCCAAGTCATTAGTTCCACTCTAGAGCTCAGGAAACAACGAAATACGCTTCGCCCGCCGCTTGAGGCTTCGTTACAATTCGGTTGAAGTGGAAAATTGGCTAAAGGCCAGTTCGTATTTCTCGCAAGAAGCTCGAGGGCTGCGGGCGCTTGTAGTGAAGAATTTACTAGAATGAAATCCTCAATTGAAAGTGGTTTTCAATGACGCACAATGGTTACTAGTTGTATTGATCAACGACTGTAAACGGACCGTCCCCCGGGCCGTACGTTAATCCATTATCGTGACTGAATAAAATAGAATAGACTAGATTGGATGAGATAGAAATGGAATAAATAGAACAAATATAATGAAGTAGACTGTTTACAACTGCCTGTTGGCAAACTGCATTTTGTCATAATTTCATGTTGGTGTAAAAATAAGTTTCAAAGGTGTTTTCTAGGGCTTGTAAAATGCATTCACTTTAATATTTTATTCTACTTTGTCATGCGCATGTCTGTATCAATCTGCATCCAAATTCAATCAATGTTTGGAATGACAGGAAAGCACTATAGACAGTGACAAAGCAATAAATTAACTTGTCAATTCTTAATAGCCCCGCAAATTACGACCAAATCTTGTCAGAAATATAAATTTATCAACACAATTTTCATGAGAACTTTTCATGAGGACTTTTAATAAAGGTAGCCATAGCACAATTTGTGTGAATTAATTAAACCAAAGGCACAATGAGCCAAGTGTTTCACACAAAGGATTAAAGTTGATGAAGAAGCTAAATTTAGCTGCAAATAAAGCCAGCCGTGTCGTTTATATGGAGTGCGAACATTTTAAGATAATATCTACATTTAAAGGCAACATGCTATATACGTCTCGTATACTACATTACATAATTCAAACTTGATGTGTGAAAAGTGTGATTTAGGGTTCATTCATATCTATGATCCTTATTTCAGTACCAAGATTACGGTGCGACAAAAACTTCCCAGTGTATTCAGATAAGATCATGAAAGCAATTCCGCTTTAATAATGATTTTAAGCCGAAATAGGTAACAATTAATTTATCCCTATATATATATATTGCTTCTCTGGTTTACATGAATTTGCGTCAAAAATCATACTATTCATTTGAAAACAACTTGAATTAGGAATCCTACTAAATTGGTAAGGATCAAATCTAATCGGGAAATAATCAACAATCTCACAAAGAGTCAGAGGTCTATTTCAAAGGCTTTTTTTACAAACAAAGACTTATTCCAAGCCAATATAAACAAGTGGAATCATGTTTCCTGCAACTATTATGCAAATCACGAGTAAAACGAATGTAATAAAAGAAGTCGCAAAAAACGGAAGAGGCAGGCATGCTATAGAGCTTTGCGTGAACCGATGACGGATACGAGAGCTTAATGTGATAAGTAGCATAAGGCAAGGTATGTCTCACGCGAGGATGGGAAATGCCTTTTAATCATAATACTTCATCATTCTCGCCCTTGTGAGAGACACACTTCAGCCTTCCATATTTATATGTTGAGACAATTTCGTATCTTTTCTTTACAAGTTCTTTATTTTAACTTGTATAAAATCTCGCATGTTGACAGCAGCTATTGTGCTCTGATTCTGTACCGATACAGATCGCTGTATGGTCTAACCCGAGCAAAATTTGCTGACAACTTGACGCCAAAAAACACTTGTAGATAGAGTTGAACAACATGGTCGAGATAACATACCAATGTTTTGATGATAATACTGTGCTCTCAGACGAGTTCCTTTAGATTATGCCACTAAAATGCTGTTTAATCGACTTATAGCTGCACATTGGCACCATTGCTGGTATTCAGGATACGCGGGCCAACATCGAGTGTACAAGCTATAGCGAGTAGCGACGAGTACTGTAAAAATATACCATGCGTATTTGCACAAAACATATTGTTTAATTAAACTAAAACGATTAGCAAAACTGTTCATTTCAACCACAAACACGAATTAGAGTCAAAACTATATCTTTCTTTAAAGCTCCATGAAATAACAAAATGTTTTTGTATCGTGGTAAACTATTCATTTTGAACGAACGTATATATAGTGTACTTTTAATGCACTTAACTGGATCTCTATTGAGAACAGTTTAGAACTGATAGAGGCATAGAGCTATCCAGTATATAGACAAAGTTGGTTTAGTAACTTTAGTTTAGTCATTATTTAATACACCCTATAACGATTATACTGTGCAACACAGGGAAACCTTGAAATTCAAAAACTACGAAATAAAACTGATTCTTTACAAAGTCTTCAGAGCTAAATAAATAAAATACAAAATATTTACCTTGGACTGACGAACGTTCCTTTGTACAAAGAGTCAGAAACTTTCGACTGGAGAACTTCTCCAATCTTTTCCACGACAGTTTTACATTGTTTGGCACTTAGGGGATAATAGCTTGCCAGCGATTCTTGCACGCAAACTAACACTGGAAATAAAAAAAAGATATTAGTATGACTAGAAATATCCGAGTTCCAGTTCAGCTGGTCAACTGACAGTTTTTATGTTAATTCTTTTTCCCATATGTAGTAGTCTTGTCTTTTGAAGTAAATGAAGAGAATGAAGAGATGTAGTTTCATTCTCCTTTCAGTATTAATATTTCTGAATTTGAGCACTTTTGCTATCCTGTAACGCTTACTGAATTCCACGGGCACATATAGGACACATACAGAGCTGTACTTAACATGAACAAACAGCTGATAGCGATATATTCAATAATTAAAGCGGCATATCACTGTTGAATATAGGGACCGTCAGCTGACAGAACTATATATGAAGCTATACTTACACAATGCTACAAGAGCTGTACGAAATGACTTGGATGTTCGCATCATGATCAATTCACTGCATCAATGTTGGTTGAGCTGATGCACGAGTTTCTTATAGGCTCTCGCTTTGTTTGTTTATACAGTAATGCGTTCCAGTGCGCGCGCCAAACAAAGTAAATAGTGTGTAGCCGTGACGTCGGAACAAATATGAGATAGTTAAGATCTGCTTATGACAAGCATAGTCTAGGCCATGAAAGCTGTCATTAACTTAAGCATATTACGTTTGTCACCACGGGTTGCCACATTAACATAAGTTGCGTTGAGTAAGCTAAACAAGGCTATGATGAAAGCTATTAAATTTTGTATAAATCGCGGTCGTGCGCAAAAGCAGGAGCCGATCTAGGCGCGCGTCTTGCGCTCTGACAAGCTTGTCTTACGGCATAAAGAACGCAGATATCGCTTTTCAAAACAAACTAAGTATTTTCACACCTGAAAATAATTCAACATGTTTGCATTTTTCCGACTTCGCATCGTTATCTCACTATGTCAATCAAAACCTTGTTATGGCCTAAGCACTTTTCCTTGCCGTGAATTAAAACACACAAATTTCTCCCACGCTGGTACTGAGTTATAAAATCACGCGATCAGTTGAAACGTGAACTTCTAAGGTCTTCTAAGAGCGCACAATTCTAACAGAAGATTAAGTGTGGTGTTGGGTTTATAATCTGGTATTTCTTATCTCAACTACACAGACCAGCATACGAGAGTACTGCACTCAAATCGAAACCAGTTGTGGAACATTTTAGGTAAATCTTGCTTAAACAAAACAGAGATCTTGGGATGCCGACGCGTGTTCTCGTCACGCGTGGGGTACCACGTTTCCACAAGCATAGAAATGTTGATAAAGGGCACGGTCCATATTTTATCTGCATGGTTCAAAAATAAACTGGAATTGGCAGTCACGCGACCTTGGTTAGCTGTTTTTAATGCTTTCCCAACACTATCATGTATCTTATTTATTGATTTTGTTAATCTAGAGCTTAAAATATCCCCTGTAACAATGCGTTACATGCCAAAAGGCAATTACCCTTATTCTCGTTTGACCAGGTCACCAGGGCTTTCATATTTTGCTCATTTCGTTCCAATATCGCTGTCCAGAAACAGTCCAGATTTATTCTTGTCCCTAAATTCCGTGCCACTTGTGTATTAGTGGAAATGTACAGTTCAAAAAGGCTGGAGCGATGGTTTCAACAACTGATTAAATCTTTGGCAAATGTATACTATGTCATTGATCGGGGCCATGACCTGATGAGAATATATTAACAGAAATTCTATACAGGCTTCACATACCATGAAAGAGCGCAAGACAAAAGTACCTCGACAAGTGCATAAAATAACAAGTATTTGAAACGTGCAAGATCACATTTTCCCTCTGTTTCACACCACAGTTTGGTTTTCTGAAGAACAGTTTAGAACTGAAAGCGAGAACAGTTTAGAACTGAAAAAATTACAGCTTTGTTATGTACACAGTTATTGAGCTATCAGTCAAAGGCTTTGAAAAAATGGACCTCTGCGAGGAACAATTTAGCAAATAGTTACTCAAAAAGTTGAGTAAACTTGAAACTTCGCCAATGAGCAAATTTGTTTATAAACTCGAGTGTTTTACTTAAAATGTTGAGTCACTGTGGGTGGTATTTAAACTCATGTTTTTGAGTCAAAATACTCAGGGATTTCTTACAATGTGTAAATATGAGCTTGCTAACGAGTTTCTGTGTTTGTATTCGAGTCTCAATAATAACAATTGCGTGAATTTTTAATAAGTGAAGTAGGCAAAGAATTCAAATTGAACTATTATTTTAAAGTGTTTTAATCCAATATAGATGTGATGAAGTCTGGAATTCATTTAATTGACCAGAAGCTTTTTTAGTACCTCCAGACTCTATTTCTAGAGTAGCCACTTAATTTTTGTAAGGACAGTACAAAGTTGTTAGCACAAATTAGTACGATGGCACAGGACCATCAATTCAAGGCCGCCATACCAACTGCAAGAGCGAACAAGTACCAGCAATTTTAAGACTAAAGAGAGGCCACTGATGAGCAATTTCTATCTAGACAATACGTATCCTTTTCCAACAATAACGAGAAACTATTAGAGCTTTTTCTAACATGCCTGTCAGCAACACTACACAGTCTACACTAGATTTGTCGCCATGGACCTCATTTATGCATAGCTGATGCACTATTCAGTTTCGAGATCAATGAATTCACTTCTTTCGATTGCGAAACTTAGAGTATACTGGGCCATCTATCTGGCCTCGCAGGCCCCACTAGTTAGTGGCTCAGACTGGGGTCTAATCTTTCCCTAAGTGGCTCAACTCTTACTCTGGCCCTGGGGATCTTGGTTCTGCCCCC